ATTCATTTTTCTTGGAGATTGCGATAAGCAAGATTTTGAAAAATTAGATACCGTACTTTATTATGAAGACAAATGTTTGTCGATATTTTTCAGAGAATATGAAATAAACCACGAAAGTTGTGGCCGAGTTCAACACAACCAGCAAATTCGAGAGGTCATTGACAGTGTAGGCGATGTGAGTGGTTCGCTAAACAAGTAAATAAAAAACCGAATTAGCTCAAAAATTTCAACTTCTTCCCCCTTCTCAGGAACTTCATCCTAATGGGCCCCAAACTGCTAAGTGAGGCACCTCCCTCTTATGAACCTCGAACTGCCAAGTAATAGATATGGTAGCTTTTTGTGTATAAATCTGGGAACCTTTCAAAATTCTATCTGTTTGGAAGCCTACTTTTTCTTGCTGGGAGTATTTGTTGCCAAACCTGGTGTAGAAGAAAGAAAAGAAAAACGAAAAAAATCGGGAATAGAAATTTCAAGGGATAAAGGTATTGGCGTTGGCCATCAGTCCTTTTCAAAAAGCCCCATCAGCGGCGCATCCCGGATGTATTGGACCCTCTTTGATGCGGTCAAGTCACCCAACAAGGCGTTTCTTTGAAGTGTAAAAATTTAAGAGAGTGGTATCAATTTGGAAAACTACACTACAACTACAAAATGTCTGTCTCAAAGCATTGTTAACGAAAACAAGTAGGAGAACTTTTGATTAAGAAAACAGTTAAGATTACGAGTAGTTCGCGGAAAACCTAGTAAAAACTCATAACGTTTTGGTGTTGTCAACAGAGTGAGAGCTTCCTAGGAAGAAGGGAAGAAGTCTGCTCTAAACAGACTTGTCAAACTTGAGAATACCTTTTGTATGGTGTTTTACAGTACACTCACCGGATCGACGAAAATATCCGGAAACACGCTCTCAACGACGTTCAATATGAAAGGCAGCGTGTTACAGACAGCGAATATGATCGTTACAACCAAAAGCATTACGGTAGTCGACTGCTCTCGCTGTTGCTAAAAGAAACCCATTCCGAGAAATTACACAAATGATCGTATCGATTATTCTGAAGCATGAGGCGCACTTGCCAAAACTGTGAATCATTTTTTTCCCGATTTCGTGTTTGCGTAATTTTTATAGATTTTTGCCATTCTCTGAAGATTTGAAGAGCATACAACGCAAACAGGGTACAGCATCGTGTTGTGTGAAATGGGTAATGTGATGATCACAAGAATGGACAGGAGGCTTTGACGGTAGTCAGGACTGGAACTTGGTTTTCAGGTTTACGAAGCCGCTTTACTGCGGCTAGCACCCGCCCAAGAGGTAACGTTCCTGCCGCTTAGTTGGGTAGATTTCATCTGACGACCTTGAAACCTTATCATCTTACCGAATTTCACGACTACACTTACCATTCGCTAAAAGTGGAACGCCACACTATGCTTTCCGTTGGTGAATCCCGGGACGGCTCCGCGTAATGATACCGGATCCTTTTGAGGATAAAGACACTTAACTGTGTACATCCGTCCCCGCAACATTGTGTGGGCCACATCGCCATCAGTGAGCTACTACGATTCTTAATATATTGTTACTCAATCCAAAAGAGATTTATCGAGATGGCCAAGACTGTCCTTTATCCTTCACCCTTTATAACCCATATCCCTATATCCGTCGGGGCACTTCGGCTTGGTGAAGGGAAATAATGCTTAGCGATTCTTCTACAGGCCAACTTGTCAAGACCTACACATTTCTGTGACTCAAGTGGCTCACCTGTACCACTTCACAGCTTCATAATGTAAGGCGTCACTGAGTTGCACCTCTCAGTTAGTATGATCTAGCAAAAAGCAACTGGCGGAAAACAAAAATCCCCACTTGGCGAACCAGCAATAATTAATCCCTTTACTCATCGCGAAAAAAAGAAAAACAATTAAAATCGTTTCTGTTGCCTCTTCATCTAAAAATCGATGTGTATTGGCCACGGCGCTCCATTACACCATTGCGAATGATGGGCCAGTGGTACAGCACCGTGATGTGGAGGTGGCGACCCCTTCCACACTGAATGAGCGGATCACGGTACAACCCCATCCCCCTCCCACTACCTACCTGACAAATTTCCCCCATTTTCCAGTTTATTCACCTAAAGTTTTTTCGGCGAGCGGGAAAAGGAAGGGGGGTATTACAGTGCAGCATGAAAAATCACGCAAAAAGTCAACAACCGAAAAACCAACGCGACAATATTTTTCTCAAAGGCACATACGACCCCTCTATCTCCCAACGACAAATAATACAAATACGGCCCCCGCCCCTCTGCAGAGAAAAAGTACGACCCCCCCTCTATACGTTTCACACAACGATGCTTGTACACTGTCGCAAAAGAAATTACGAACAAGTGTGCTGGTGAGAGATCTCGGCACGCTACCGCTTGCGTTTCTACGACCATACGATATGCGCCTTATATACAATGAAATAGGGTAGATTCTTCTGACACGAAATATCACTACATATGTATCAGGTAAGGCGGCCCTGGATCACATCACTCTGATGGTGTTTTAACAGGGTTTTTACCAGGAGTTTTTACCAGTGTAGATATCAGGGTTCTTCTGTTCCAAGTGTCGGTTACTTGGTACACAGTGGTCCTGCTTGGAAGGCGAAAACACCAGCGACGATGAAAATTGGCGAGCCCTTACAGGAAATTGTCCAGGTTTGAGTATTTACTCTCCACCAAGTCTGGTCTCAAGGAAACTCAGCGGAAATGAGAAAATGGGTCGTACAACGAAAACAGACTCAATGGTATTCTTATATAACCCACAGCGATGTCCACTGAAAGTTTCAGCAGACTGGTGGGAACGGAACCTTGGTAAACTACACAAAACGGCTATTCAGAAAAAAGATAATAGAAAGAAAGCAACAAAGGAGAGAACTGGTTGCGTCGCCGGCTATACTATGTTAACACCACAGGAGAATTAGGGCTGAACCATCTTCATTTCCTTTCTCTTCTCTCAAAATCTTTCCAAGACTACCTGTCTCCCTAGGTGGCGGAAGCCAGGTTAGCTGAGACAAACTGCTATCCCTCCGGTCGATCAGCTCCATGGGATAAGAGTGAATGCAGTCACGGCACCCTCATGCTCAGCCGCACAAGAGTACAGGAAGAACTTTTCTTCTGTGAGAGGTGGGACTGGGGTTGGGCTCGATTAGGTGGGCGAGGCAAGTTCATTCGAGGAGTATTTTGAGCTCTGGACTCTAGAGCAGTAGACAGACAAGGAGCAAGGATAGAAAATTGACAATGTGCAGCAGAGCGCTACAAAATGAGCTATTGCGCAAGATTAATGTTAGAAACGCCTAGAAGAATGGGACCATAGGGCAGAAAAAAAGGGAATCCCGAGAGCAAGATGCTGCACAATGATAATGGGAAAGTACATGTCAAGCTGTGAAAAAGTAAGGAAATGTGATACATAAAGATGAAGGATGAAATCATGCCTGTCTGGTTAGCATTTGTCGCATTTGACGTCCTTTCCACATCGTCACGATAACAGAGCCGTTCAAAACCGCCATGATGGTGAACGGGAGCAGAAAATGTGTCACAACGTAGAGTATAGTGTAGTACCCGATGTAGTAACCTCTGAAAATGGATGGATACAGTTCGTAGAAATAGAGTCAAGGTCAGAGAATTGGGCTTTCGCCGTTGATTCATCCATTCTTGAGATCGCGGCATGCATTCTACATCCACTCAGAATTACGATGGCTTTCTGAATGCAATATGCAATGGCTTTCTCAGTGCAATGTGGCCCATACCACAACTTGCGGGGAGAGCCGACATAAACGCTGTGCGTTTACTCTCCCAGACAAGGGTATCAGTTTGTTGGTGGGGAGGGTAGATTTGCTTGATTGGCTGGGCGGGCCCTCAGATCAAGCGTGAGGTGAGCAGGACGCTTGTCACAGTACCACCTGTGAACATCAATGAATAGAGTACTTCTGCAAGAAAAGGAAGGAATATAGCTATGGTTCTACCCTCTAATCCATAAGTCTTTTCTGAAAGAGAAGGGAGGACGGAGGGTGCAGCTATGTACAAGATATGTTCTAGCTCTAAGAGTAGCACCAAAGCTGTAACCTAGTCAGGTAGGTCGCTTTTGCCGAAATTCCCAGCCATTTTCCACATATCTTAATCTTTCCTGTCTCTATCTTACGAATTTGATTTTGATTCTCTCAATGTTAACCCAAAATATAGACCTAACGAGGGATTCAGTCACGACAGGTAGCGTCTCCACAAGCACCATCCAGAGCACGTCGTACTTGGGATTCCCCAGCGAGTGGGGTAGTACTGGCGGGAGGAGGGAGTGACTGTATTTGTCTTCAAATGAAATGTTTCCGGTTTTCAGGTTTTTATTGTTCATATTAATGTCCTCCCGGAAAT